CAGCATCATGCCAACGCATCCACCCCGACCCTCGACATCCTCGAGCTCGATCTCGAGAAACTCGGCAAGGAACGCCCCGCCGTCTTTGGCGGGAGCGCCTTCCGCGAGGTCGTCTTCTGCAGCAGTCTCCTCATCTCCATGTTGATGGCCGAGTTCTTCATCTCGGGCTTCAACATCATCCTCCCCGATGTCTCCCGCGCCCTCAAAATTCCCCACGCTTCGCAAACGTGGCCTGCGAGCGTCTTCTCGCTCGTCACGGGTGCTTTTCTTCTTCCCCTAGGCCGCGTAGCCGACATCTATGGGGCGTATGTGGTTTTCACGTCCGGCTTGGTGTGGTTCTTTCTGTGGACGTTTATTTCAGGGTTTGCGACGAATTACACCATGTTGATTGCCACGAGGGCGCTGGGCGGGTTTGGGCCGGCGGCGTTCTTGCCGAGCACGATTATGCTGGTGGCGAAGACGTATCGTCCGGGGCCGAGGAAGAACTTGGTGTTTGGGTTGTACTGCGCGTTTGCGCCCATCGGGTTCTTTCTTGGCATCATTATCGGCGGCACTGTTACTCAGCTGTTGACGTGGAGGTGGTATTTCTGGCTGGGGAGCATCGTCATGTTCATCACGTGCGTCATGGCTTTCATCACGGTGCCCAACGATCTGAAGCAGACGAGGATGGAGAATGCGAATGTTCGTATGGACTGGTGGGGGGTTTTGACGGTGGTCCCGGGCTTGGTGCTCGTGACGTTTGCCATCACGGACGGAGGACATGCGCCTCAGGGGTGGAAGACGCCGTATATCCTGGCAACTTTCATTGTCGGTGTCTTGTTTCTGGCGGTTTGGGTTTACGTCGAGGGATGGGTGGCAGAGCAACCGTTGTTACCGTTTGATCTCTTCAAGCCCAAGTACATGGGGCGGTTGACGGTGTCGCTGTTTTTCGCGTATGGCGTCTTTGGCATCTTCCTCTATTATGCTAGTCTTCAGTAAGTCTCCAACCCCCCCCCCCCCCCTAAATGCTCGCTCTCGCCGGATCACAACTAACAAAGGCGTCTCTTTAGTATCTCGGAATATATGCATGCTACTGCTCTCAAGACAGCCGTTTGGTTTTCTCCCATGGCAGCTGGAGGCATCATTCTAGCCACAGTCGGGGGGTTCACGCTGCACCTCCTGCCTGGCCGTGTAGTCCTCATCATTTCCGGCCTTGGCAGCATAGTCAGCGTTTTGCTCTTTGCCGTCATCCCAGAGAACGGGAACTACTGGGCGTATGTCTTCCCGTCCATGGTGGGAGCGACAGTGGGTGTGGATATCACCTATCTCGTATCCAACACCTTCATCACGGCGAATGTCCCAAGGCACCGGCAGGGTGTGGCAGGGGGTCTGATCAACAGCCTCTTGTTTCTGGGCATCAGCTTCTTCCTGGGCCTGGCTGACCTGGCCGTCTCGGAGAATGACAAACGGGATCCCGGGGGCATGGGCCACAAGGTTGCCTTTTGGTTTGCCACGGCATGTGCCGGCGTCACCTTTCTCATCTTCCTTACCATCCCGATGCCAAAGGCCGAGAGCCAATTGACCATCGAGGAGCAGGAGGAGAGGGAGCAGCGGGCGAGAGCGCTCGAGAGCATGGGGCAGAGTTCTGGGGAGAAGAGCATGTCCTACGCATCGACTTAAGTCTCTTGTGGTGAGCATTGATGCTGGCGTTGAGCTATTTGTTTGGTTCCTGTTTATACTTCAGTCATAGCATAGATATTTAGTTCCATCGATTAATGACTACTCCCAACACTCATAATTCGTCCTTCAGCCCTCTCCCACTCTTCAGCTCCTCTCGTGCCTTCAATCTCTCCTCTTTCTGGATCTTTCGCTCGTTCCTCCTTACTGTGCGGTGGAGCTTCTCCCACATCAATCGAGTCCTTTTGCCGTCTTCTGTCTCTGTGACCGACAGCGCCTCGATCCTAAATCTCATGTCTCTCTTGCCGAGGGCCCGATCTGGTTTGCTGTGGTCCATGACCCAGGCCAAGATGGCATCGTCTTCTGCTTGTGGTTTGTATTTCGCCAAATTACTCAACGCCCCTACCAGCACAGCACTTAGTTAGAATCTCTTGCTACGGGCATGTTTTTCGGTCAGGGGGTGGAACTCACGCTCACAACTGCTCCTTTTAGACACCCAGAGAGGCAAAACTTCATACACGGACGCGGCCGGAAACACCACGATCTTGTCCTTGTCCGGGATGGCTGGCGGATCATTTGCGCCTGGCGAGGGTGAGGTAGTTGGCCTCGGCTTCACTGTCGTGTGGATCTTGTCCCCTTCCTTCTTCGGCTTTTCAAACACGCCAAAGTACCACTTCTTCTTGTTGTCCTCCCGCTCGTCGGCTTGCTGCTCCTCGATCCAATGCCGCACCGGCTCCGGCACATCGACATACTCCATGACCACAATCTCGCGGTCTTGGCCCTTGTGGTCGACCCCGTCCCAGCTCCCCATGTAATCGAGATGGCCTAGGAAGTCCTCGATGCCGTCGTGCCATGGGGACAATCCCGACGGGGGGTCAAATGGCAGGTCGCTGAGACGGTACATCTTGGCGTGGAAGTTGCCCGAGACCCTGCAGTGGACATCGAACCCGCCCGGTTCGGAACCGTCATCGGGAAACGAACGGGTCCATTTGAAGGTCTTGACCACGCCGTGTTCGAAAATATCCCAGTTGATGGAGGCGTGAGAGGGGGAGAAGAAGAGGCAGAGAAAGGCAAGGGCAGTGCCAGTCTTCATTTTCGTTGTCGTCGAGTCGTCGCGTTGCGTCCGAGTCGGGGCTGGTGGAATAGGGGCATCAACTCAGTGGATGGGCATGACGTTGCAGATCGTGGGGGATGAAGATGATGGCTATCGACGGGTATTTAAACCGTCGCCGTTCTTCTTCCGCATGTTTTGACATGTGGCGTCAACTTCGGCAGAGCCAATGCGCTACGTCCCGCTGTCTTGATGCGACGCGGGGGCATACAGGCTAATTGCCCGTCGCCATATCCTCCGATTTGCTCACAGCGCTGTCACATTAATCTGGGGGTTATTAGACAGACCCCAAATTCCACGTGTCCATTTTCGAATATAGGTTAGGGCACATAACAGGAGTTAGTAGGGTGCAACTTCAAGTCAGCTGCCAGTGGTCGAGACGCGGGAGGGTTGGAGCGCCCGCCTGGAATCTGGGGATATATTCCATGAAGATGATCTAGAAGTTTCCTCTCGGCAGATGCTTTCTCGCTGTGACCCCTTTCCCTGCAATCCGCCAACACATGCACCAAATCACGGCAAACACTCCAACAACCGGGTCAACCTCCGCGCCACCACCGCCTGCCTCTCCGCATCCGCGGTCGACTTGTCGGCCGCATCACCCACACTCACACTAACATAGCACCCCTTCTTCAAAATCACCTCCGTCTCGGTCGGTAACCTCGTCTTCCCGCAAATCTGGGCATCCGGCTGCGAAAACACTCCCACATTGATCCGACTCAACACCCACTTGAAATCCCCAACTTGGTTACACTCCTCATTCACCTCGGGAAAGTTCACATTCAGCCAGACATCCTCGGGCAGATACGGCTTGCCCCCCGCCGTAAGTGCATTCACCAACTTGGTCGCGAGCTGCGCATACACAGTGCTGCGCACGGGGACGGGATTCGTATTCCACGCGAGGGTGCCCGAAGAGGCTCCCGAAAAGGCAATGGCGGGGATGCGAGCGGTTTTTGCGGCGTACACGGCGGCGCCGACGGTGCCGGAGAAGTGCACTTGCAGGTAGAGGTTGGAGCCGACGTTGGGACCAGCGACGGCGAGGTCGGGGGCGGCGCCGTGCCAGAGCTGCGGGCCGATGGTGGAGATGCCGTAGCGCATCGCCGTGACGGGGAACGAGTTCACCCAGTTGAGACGGGGCGAGGTGAGGTTGGTGCCGATCGGGGCGGAAGAGGGGACGCAGCTGTCGTATTGACAGGGGGAGGTGCGCGGGGAGGGCTCGGAGTCGGTGGAGCCTGGGGAACGTTAGTGGTGATGATTGATTGGGGGGGCTAGAGTGAAAAAAAGGGGGAGGGTACCCGTTCCGGACCGGTTTTCGGCCGGGCCCGAGAGGACGGCATTGTGCCCGGAGGCAAGGAGCGCGTCGTGGAAGGAGCGAACGTAGAGTTCGGCCCAGCCATCATCGTTGGACTGGATGACGCGGAGGCCGTGCGCCCCCAGCGTCGCGGCCGAAACCAAGCCAACGAGAAGCTGGGTGGTGCGCATCTTATTCCGATGCTGTGATGAAGGTGTGTCTGTCCGATGCGCAAAACAGGTGCACGCTGCAAAATCGCGGATTTTGTTTGTTGGCGACGAGGTTTATGTATGTCGTCGTCGTCACTCACGTTTTGGGGGGGCACAGCTCATTAGGTACCGGCATGCTGCCCAATCATTGGCGTTTGGGGCTTCACATGCTCGTCGAGTGAAACGCCCACTGCCCACTTGGGACATGTGAGCCGAGTCATTGGCTGCGCTAGACCTTGGGATCCGGTGACCTCCGATCCAGCGCAACGAATTGTTGCTTCGAAGTGACCGTATGCGCTCGGCTCTCAAAGCGTTGTAACCGTGACGGTGGCAAAGGTCCATGCTACCTTCCCCTTTTCCCCTGAAAGTTCTCAGCTCTCATTCGCTCTTGGCTATGGAACTAGAGGTTGAACAGTCAGTTTGAGAATAGCATTAAAATGCTCAGGCCGCGTTTTATACCTGATATTTCGCCGCCACCGCGCCATGGCTCGGCCGTTTTGTCTCAGTCACTGAATGCTCCAAGTCGGCACTGAAAAGTGAATCAAGTCAGCATATTGTTCATTCTGAGGAGAGTAAGCGTTCTCAGAGAGAGGTGAGGGGGACAAATCACACGAACTCCAAATTCCTCGGAAACCAGACAGGATGATCCGGGCTTTCTCAAAGCTCCTCCGTCAGCAGATGGACCGCCGAGTTGCCAAAAAGACTCCACCTGGGAAGCGGCCTGGGTAAAAAAATGAGGTCGTACCCGGAATCGAACCGGGGTTACCGGAATGGTGATAAAGAAGTGAATATTCAATCAGAATCCGATGTGATGACCGCTACACTATACAACCTGTTGATATGCTCAAGTTAATAATGACACTGATGTAAGGTGGTTTACCCAATCGACATCGCAACTCGGGGTCCGACTAATGGGAGGACGGATTTTCCCCTATTTTCAGTAGGGATTCTGCATACTTTGCTCCAGCAAGCCAACATCCACATCTACCAAACCACCACCTAAATAAACACTTTGCAGTGCAGCCACGCTCCACCAGTAACCCCTTTATCCACGCCTCGAGTGCCAATCGACAATAGAGTTATCTCCTACCGCCCCCCCTATTAACCAGAGCGCCGTTGACCATGGCGTTTACCTTGGCTTTTGAAGTCAAAATGGTGCCCTATAAATGCAGGCTGTTCACCAACATGCATTTACTTCTTCTTTGCAAACGCTGCAAAAAGCCACCCGTTGATGGCTTCGTCGATTGGCGCCGGAAGGATAAAGGGACTTGAGGCTGTACAGTGGGGATGGCGCCTGCATTCAAAAGTGGACTTTTGGCTGGTGTTTCCAACAGTTTATATGCATGGCGCACAGGTCGTGGGAGCCACATCCAGACTTCCAAAATCCCTACTGAAAATAGAGAAAAATCCGTCCTCCCATTAGTCGGACCCCGCAACTCGGGGCCCTACCTGCACCACCATACGCGTGACGCACGTAAGCAAAAAGGGGACACGGCTCACTGGCAGCAGCAGGATCTATAATACTTGCCGGGGATAACTTAGAAGAAAGGAGAAACAGCCTAGTTATCTGTAACAAGTCTAGGCACAGGAGATTCCCTTTTTCATTCGTTGTCCTAAGCTGGGGTGAGCTGTAACTGGTTTGTCTTAAGCTTCCCTTAATTCTTCCTTAAACTAAAGTAGTACTAGATGCCGCCACTGCATAGCCTTAGAAGCCGCTTGGAAGTGCGATATAAGACAGCGGCTTAGATGGTATTCGCAGGTCTCTTTTCTTTTGCTCCGTCACTTGCTGATATCACTTGAGCGATAAAGGAACTTGGCTCTGATTGGGAACCAATTTACCCCACAATTTTCGGACAGACGCGCAGTTTGAACCTCCCTGATTGGTTGATAATTCGTTTCGCCAATGTCGAGCTGCGCCTCCCTCAGATGCATCTGGCACCCTCTGCGACTCCGCACGTCGTCCGACTTCAGCTTGTCACCTCACAATCACCAACCCCCGCCATGGAGCTTGCACTGACTTTCGGGGCAATCGGCGACTTCCTCTCAATTGCCCTCCTGATCAAAGACATCATTTCAGCGCTCGATGAGAGTCGCGGGTCGGCCAAAGCATACCGCGGCCTGATCGACGAAATAACACAGCTCCATCAGGCTCTGGAGCAGGTCGAGCACATTTACCACGGACCAGACATTCCCAGCGGCCTCAGCGACCTCGTCTCCATCGCTCAAACCACAGTCTCCCATGTGCGCGAAACCCTACGAGCCTTCCATAGCAGAGTCTGCAAGAAGTACGGCGACAGTCTGGCCGAAGGTGGATCGGGCAACATCTTCAAAGATGCCGCGAGGAAGATCCAGTTCAAGCTGGAGGAGAAGGACGTGGTCAACTTCCGCACCGAACTCGCCAGCCACAGGATGTCTCTTGAGTTGTTTCTCCAGATCACAACAGTGTAGGCGCTTTGAATTTTGTCATGGGTGGCCACTCTTCTAATGTGTCGCTAGGCGCCTCGAAAAAGAGAACCACAAGGCCGTCATGGCTGGGCTGAGCGCAACGGCGGAAAGAACGACCGCTGTTGTTCACCGGTACGGCCACTCGATCGAGAGCCGCCTTGGTTTCCTCGGGAGACGCATCCTCTCCAAGCTGGACTTCCTGGCTAGGTTGGGCATCGATATGACAAAGTCTGCTTCTCAAATCCTCAGTATGATGTTTGCAGTGTCGGGAGATCTCAGCATCATCAGATCCGTGGTTTTGCGGCTTGACAGGGGCGTCAACAATGGCGAGCACTTTGTGCTCGAGGACGCAACTGGCCGCTCGTTTCCCATCCACCTGAAAACCATCACTAGCTGGGAAGCGTTCAACTTCATACTCGAAGACCGGTTCAAGGGAAAGAAGGGCGAGCGCCGGACCCGCCGGAAGCTCTACTCTCTCCACGAAAGCGCCAGTCATCTTGAGATTGACCGCTCTGCTCATTTCGAGAGCGCGTTTTCACCATATCAAAAGGTCGACATGAGCCTGATCTGCAAAGCTCCAGTCGCGCTGACGACGGACGACGGAGATACCGGCTTGTCGAGTTGCCCCTGGTGCAAGACGGTGTCCCCGGGAAAATTGGGAGATCGCGTGCAGTGTTCAACTTGCAGACGGGATTTCTTGCGGGTCGTCATCGAGGTGGAAGATTCTGAAGACCCCCTGACACCCCCATCATCAGCACCCGTTCCGCAGCGCATTGCCGACGTACAGTTTGGCAAGCCATCTTTGGGCACCTTAGGCAAACGCGCGCGCGAGGACGACGGCGACGATGACGAAGCCTGCAACGAATGCCACAGACCGAAAAGACCCAAGGCAGCACGGGTCGATGATCGGAAGCGGAAGAGATCCGGAGAGACCGACTCCGACTCAGAATCGGATGAAGAGAACCTTGCCGGCCTGGCTCACGTCACCTTGCAGACTAAGCGGATGCGACTGTCGGAGCCAGAGAAGAGACCGTTTCACGCAGCACAGGTCGATTCATTCGACATTCTTGCACGCAAAGTCCTAGGAGATAATCCTGTCCCATTTACGGCTCTTTCCATTGACTCGAAGAACGGCGAAACAAGATCACGATTTGCTAGAGATGCTAGCAAAGCAAGGGCGACAGAAGTTCTCCCTAGCGATGAATCAGATGAACAAGAAGAAATACGACCTCCCGATGAGGCTCTGGAAGAGGACGAACACTTTACGATGAAAGAATTGCTCTCGCCCTCGCCGACGCCCTCACCACGAGGCTCTGAGTTTGCGGCCGTACAGAGACCCTCGTTTTACCACAGGTCCCCGACCTCATCATCACCGCTAAAGTACATGTTCGAAGGCGAATATGGCACAACGCGTCCAACCCGTCCAGCAAGAAAGCCTCACTTCCGCTCCCCTTTGCCGAGATATACTTCTGATGGCCAGTATGCCACAGCTAACGTTAGCCGTTCCCACTATGACTCCCGGTCTTTGGACACCACGCTGGGTGGTGATAGCGACGACGAAACGATAGAAATCGCCGGCGTGACTTACACCGTCCTAAAAAAACGCGCATATGAAAGTAAACCTCTCCCGGAAATGGATCGGTGGGCCCAAATCAAAAAGAATGCCGCAGAAAGAGCTGCTCAACGTCAGGATCGTCATCGTGAAGACAAGAAGCCGGCAGAAGTGGATGGTGACACCAGCGGTGAGGAGAGTAAGATAGTTGCCACCAAGAAGCTTGTTAAGCTTGAACTGAGCTCTGCTGACATTTACTGGTAGCGATTGAAGCCCGCGTCGATCGTATCAAGGCCAGAGTTGCCGAGTTGACAGGAAACGCTACCGCGGCCGGTCAAGAAGGAACACGCCAGTACCAGAAGGGAACGGCTGGGCTACAAACCTCTCAAGGCACTGGCGCTGGAACCACTGCCGAATCGCTATCGTCAAGCATGCCTACACCCGCCAACGCTTCCAGTTCTACAGAGTCAACGACCAAAGACACAGAGAGGACGGGGCAGAAACGACCGGTAGAGCAACAGGGACGCATAGCAACCGAGGTGGACGCGAAAAGGCACGGCATCCCCCCTGGCTATTCCCTGAAAAATTGGGACCCAGAAGAGGAGCCAATCATGCTCCTTGGATCGGTATTCGATGCGAACTCTCTCGGCAAGTGGATCTACGACTGGTCTGTATATCACCACGGACCAGCAACGCCAGTATCGGACATGGCCGGTGACCTGTGGCTTCTGCTGATCAAGCTGGCGGGCAAGATCAGGAGGGCCGAAAGCATTACGCCGAAAATCAGGTTGAAGGACAACAGAGAATTAGTCGAGGATTTTATCGAAGCAGGCGACCGTCTGACGGATAAACTGCGGAAGCTTCTGAAGGCCTGTGAGGCGCCAATGTTGAGGTCGAAAAGGAAGACGGGCGAGGTGTCTGGCAAAGGGGCAGGTGTCGAGTTCATCGAGACGTTGTTTGGCAAGGATCGAGAGCTTGAAAAGACTGAGAGGTTTATGGCGAGCGCTAGGCTTTGGAATCTCAGGTTTGATACGCATTGCGAGGAGATTCTCAGGGAGCCTGCTATGTAGAGGATCATATTGAAGGGACTTGTCGGATAATCAGAAGTCGAGTTGCAGCACGGGAGCTTCTGACATGTTTTGTGATGGTGAGCAAGACTGAGCCAATTCTCCTGAGCGGCCCTGAGCAGGCCCTGCGCCGGGGTGAGCGACGTCGCGTGGGCGCGGTACGCAAAACACCCAAATGTTGTCACCAGTTGGGATGCCACGGCCGTATTCGTGGCCGCCCAGCCACCCAGCCGCAAAGCACACGTACCCCTTAGGGAAGGATCGGCTGGGCGCTGGGCATGTTGATTGGCAGAGCCGGTTTTCATCCGTCCTTTCGGCTTCCGGTATGCCAAGCCCCGCAAATCCGAGATGAGCCGTGCCGTCCTTCAGTACAACCCCGAAAAGCAATATATCCAGGCTCTTGAATGCTGGTAATCGTCTTTGTCTTGTCGTTCATCTTCCCACAAACTCCGTCAGCAGGGTTGATTGTCTTGCATCTCACATCAACTCAGACATCGACATCATGAAGCTCCCCCTTTTCCTCCCCCTCATCCCATGCGCCATCGCCAGCTGCATCCCCCACTCTGACATCGGGACATGGTCAACTCTCGCGCCCATTCCCCTCTTTCCCCGGCAGGAGCATTCAACCGTGGTTCTGCCCCCGTCATCCTTCGCCATCCTGGGAGGGGTGATCCCTGCCGAGGTCGGCGCCAACACCACGGCCCTCGTCCAGCTGTACGACATCCCCACGAATTCTTGGAAGTCCCTCGCGCCTCTCCCCGTCCCATTG